CAGTGGGAAAAACGGAACTAAGTATACAACCAAAGAAACTGAAGTTAAGTACTGTAAATAGAAAGGTGTTAGAAATAACATCAAGATACAAGTGCAATAAAACCACTAGAGGAAACGCAAAAAAAGGTAACAAGATTACATAACCGAAGGCGAGAAGGCACTAAACGAAGTGTCAACCTACGAATACAACTTCAGTGCAACAACGTGCTCTTTCTGCTTGCACAAAACAGGCTTATGAATACGTATACAAACTGCCTCAAGGACTTTCAACTGTTGGACATAACGCGCACGACACAGTACAGAAAAATGAGAGTCATCATACACACCAAGACAGTCAGGACGAGATAACAAGTGTAGATACACAGCTGACTTCTTACGATCAACACAGTCATCCGCCTCATCTCACTCCTTCCCACCCGACTCCTCCTCGTCCATCTCATCGTCCTGTTCCTCGTTCCGCTCGTTATCCTCACGATTATCATCACCACCATCATTTGCCTCGGCCTCTGTCTTCTCAACAACCGTTTCGTCGTAAGAGCACGCTGTTGCACTGAAGTTGTATTCGTAGGTTGACACTTCGTTCAGCTGACACTTCGTTCAAATTTCCGGCATAGTGCCACGGTGTGCGAGCCACCCAGGAGGCAAACAAATGCATTTACAATATTTCACATTTTCTTGCCCATTCTGTTGTTGTTGTAGAAGTTTATTTAACGTCGCACCACAAACAGGCGATTTCGCCGCCTTTGATACATGTGGACGACAGAAGGAATGAGAGAGAGGGGGGGACAGAAGTATGGAGAGAGGAAGGGTAGAAATAAATAAGCAATCAACCTCAGGGCTACACCAAAGCAAAAACGGAATGGGAACATACTATATACAAAATAGCTTCATACATATATTGCAAAACACGTTTACTATTCTTCAGTCCGCTATACCACAGAAACACACTAGCCGAAAAGCATTTAAGCGGAGCCATGATGCGCTTTTAGCAGGGCACAGAACTGAAGGTGGCTGGGCTCGGAACGGAGATCAGGCGGGAGCTGGTTCCACAGGACTGCGCCGATGAACTGCATGGTCGCTCGACCCGCAGGACCGGGCCAAAATGGTACTCGAACGAAGTGATGTGCTGCTCCCCGAGTGCGGTCACCAGTAACTCTCACGAAGAAGCTGGTGAAGAGGGAGCTAGCTCGGGAGAACAGACAACAACGGACAAAGATGAGGAGCTTAATGTTAAACATGTCCTCCAGGGTGGTGAGGCGGAGCTGTCCAAAGATCGGGCTAGTGCGCGACCACGTTGGCAGACCGAAGAAGTCGCGGATAGCGCACTTCGTTAGACGTGTGAGGGGCTCCATGTTGCCAATTTGAAGTGACGGATAAAAGGCGTTGGAAGCGTACGACAACCTACCCTGGATCATCGACCTGTAAAACAGGATCTTTGACGCCAGGGTGAAGCTCCGCCACAGCGCACCTACTGACTTCCGCACCTGCTGGATTGTGTGATTGACGTGAGGCTCCCAGGACAGCTGCCCATCTACCATTACGCCCAGGTTCCGTGCTTGTTCCACAACTGCAAGGGCTGCATTCGCACAGCGAATTCGAATGTTATCTGTGTCAGGGGCTGGGCCTCTTGGGGTAATCAACAGAGCTTGCGTTTTCTTTTGGTTCAGCATTAGTCCGCGGTCCTCCAACCACTGCGACAGGCCGGTGATGGCTGTGCTTAGAGAAGAGCACACTTGTTCGCCACTGCCCGAGGCTTCGATTGCAATGTCGTCTGCAAATTCCTGGTTTGTGACCTGCTGGGGCAAGCAGCATCGAAGGTTACGGATGTATAGTGTGAACAGGAGGGGGCCGAGGACGGATCCTTGCGGCACCCCTCGACTGCATGCGACGTATTCCGAGCAATTTCCGCCCACGACTACGCGTTGAAGCCGCTCACTCAGGTAACTAGTGAACCATAGCTGGACAGTACCGCCGACCCCAATGTCGGATAGCTCCTGTGCCAAGATGGTGTGTTTGACACAGTCGAAAGCCTTCGACATATCCACGAATATCACACCTGTGAGTTTGCGCTCATACTTCGCTTTCAGGCAACGATTGACAGCTAGCACAAGAGCGTCCTCCGTACTGTGGTTCTTCCTGTACGCGAACTGCGAGTCAGGGAGAATACTGTGATCGGTCAGAAAGGATGTAAGCTGAGCTTTGACGATCTTCTCGAGGAGGCGAGAAACGACTGGTAGTAGAGAAGTAGGTCGATACGCAGTAGGCTGACAAGGGTCAAGGCCGGCACCTTTGAATAGCGGCGACACATTAGCAATTTTAAACTTACGGGGAACACACCCCTGACATAACGAAGTATTGAAAATTATGCTGAGCGAGGGAGCCAGTATTGATGCCGAGTTTCTAAGGACAATACCCGGCAAGTCATCATGCCCAGTTGCTTTTGACGCGTCAACGGACTGGAGAAGGGCCGTAATGTCCTCCGTCGAAACAGGCGCAAATTCCGTGAATGCTGGTGCTTCACGTTTGGCTGGTGCGTTGGCGCACAGCGCGTCTGGTCGTCCAGGGTCATGTAAAACTTCGCCAAAAGTTCGGGAGAGGATTCCAACAGGTACTTGTGGTGGGCTTGAACTTTTTGCTCGTCCAGTCACCACGTTTATCGTATTCCAGAGCTTCCGTCCATCCTTTCCGGCCGACTGTAGGCGAGCTTGAAAATGCTGATCCCTTAGCCTCCGATCTAGCTTGCGTGCGGCTGCGCGGAGAGTGCGGTGTTGCTCTCGCAGGCGGACATCGTTTGGAGAGCGTGAAAGAAGTCGGTGGGCCTTGTTTTGTTGACGCACAGCAGATACAAGTTCAGGACACAACCATGGGCAAGGTCGGCGCCTCGGCTTACGAGGAGGTTGTAAGGGGGCGTGATGATCTAGAGCAGTAAAAACCTTTGCGTACCATTCGCTTATCATTGCATCAACATCATTCGACTTGCTGAAAATCTCAAGATTGCAGTCCTGCAAGTCAGCGTTAAAGTGCTCCCAGTTTATCCTCCACACTCGCCTCTTTCGAGATGCGACTCGTTCGGACTGCCGGGTGGCGACGATAATGTTGGCCACAAATGCGTAGTGGTCGCTGATGTCACACTTGATGACCGTGCATGTTCCAACTAGAGAGTTAGGGGCGAGGAGCAGATCTATTAGGGGGGAAGTTGAAGCCGTTACTCTTGTCGGTGTCCGGATGTGGTTTTCCAGATCAAACCGCTGGAGCATGGTGTGCATCCGGCTGTGTCCCGAGCACATGTCCACATTGAAGTCACCAATGGCGACCACGCGGTTGTTTCGTCGCAAGGTTAGATTGTTCATACTGATTTCTAGGTCTTGCCATACTGCAGCAGTAGTGGAAGGCGGAAGGTAGAACGTAGCGAGGGTGATGGGTTCACCGGATTCTGTCTTCAAGGTGAGTATCAGATTTTCGATTGTGTCACTCTCGAGTTCAGCGTGTCTGGAAACAGCCAGGGTATCTCGACTGTATACAGCTATACCGCCACCAGGTCTGTGCCCGCGATCGCGCCTAAAGAGTCTATAATTAGGTATATGAATGGATGAGTCAGAAATCGAACAATCAAGCCAAGTTTCAGCAATGCCGAAGATATCTACATTGTGGTAGTTTATGAAGTTTTGGATTTCTCCTAACTTCTTTCTAAGGCTGCATACATTCAGAAAAGCAAGTTTACAAGACTTCTGTCGACCGACAGTAGCTCTATGGAATTGTGGGTTCATTTAATAGATCTATAAGGAAGAACTACATCTAGAAACTAATCCAAAACCTAAAACAAAAAATACACAGGCAGTTCAAGCATACTATTTCAAGGTGCAGTTCACTGCACCACTTCATGACGGCTCCTACCGCGGCCGTCGTCACCCTCACACTCTTCCTCCCAGTCCGACCCGGTACCATAGAAGTCGTCTGTCTTGGTGGTCGGGCAGACAGCCTTCGCAGACAAGTCGGCTCTGGATGATGCGTCACTCCTGGCTTCTCGCTTACGCTTCCTCTCCATGGAGTGCTCCAGCGCACTAAAGCGGTTCGCGACAGAGGGAAAAGCGGAGGCGGTTTGTTGCAAGATTATTGGAGAAAAAGTAGAACACTTTCCACCTGCGACGTGCCAATCTTGCACCGGGGTAGGGACAGAAGATCCAGGAGCTGGAGTGGAAGTTACAGCTGCTTCAGTACCGGTTACATGTACTGCATTTTTATTGGACGCAAGGCTATTGTTGTGTTGCACGTGGTAATTAGAAGATGCAGCCACAAAAGGTTTCCGGGGAGTTGTGTTGTCTCCTTTACCACCGGGTTCAGTTACGTGTCCCGCGGCAGGTGGGACTGGTACGGCTGTATCATGGTGTTCTGAAGCTCGTACTGTCACTGCCTCCGGTACCTGGATGACATCCTCCGTGCTTGGGCCCGCAGTAGCACTGGCCATACTCAGCGTAGATGTAGGGTGCTGTGCTTTTGTGCGTGTAGTGGGTATGCTAGATACACTGTCACCGTGCTGGGATGTGTTGGAGTTCACTTCAGAGTTCGAACCTACGCAATTCGTACGGATACTCCCACGTTCGCAGGTCAACTGAGATACAGAATCTGAAGGTGCAGAACTAGAGTTATCCCTTGGTACGGTACTATAGGCCTGTTTCAGCCAATCAGGAGCCTTGCTGACCGGGAAATAATAGCCAATACAATCCCTCGGGGGATGATATTCATTATTAACTGGGTTCACTTTTATCGTACCTACTACGGTGCACCCTGCATTGGCATGCCCCCACCCCCTCTCGATTCGATGCAATGCATCTTGCCACTGGAGTCCTTTCGATCAGAACCCAGCGACAAAATACACTACACAGAACCGTGAGAGGGTGGGAGCATGCCAATGCAGAGTGCACCGTCGGTACAGAAATGAGAAATATCTGACTCCTGAAATTGACTCAAAAAGCCACTGGTCACTTCCTAGTTTGAAGGTTACTTCACCTTGGCCGGTGTGTCCTCATAGTCATTCGGATATGTTACTTCCTTCAGATCTGTACCTTTGTTCCTTTCTGCAAATGTACAGTTGTAGCTGAGTCCTACCCAGATAGGGCTTGAAAGTGCAACGTGACAATCGGCTGGAGTCGGCAAAAGTCGTGATTACTTCAAGTATATTGTGCACTTCAAGAGCGGTCTACTCACACTGCAATCAGACAGGCTCCAATAGCATGCGTATAAGTAAGCATTAAAGAACAAAAAGGCATTTCATGAGAGCTAATACATACAGTGCAGATTTCAGCATTTTCTCACTTAAAATCATGCACATTCCTGATTCGGCAAAAATAATCTAGACATAATAACAGGTTAGTAATAATACTATTGGACACGACATGTTCTAAAACAAGGAATGTGGCCGATACTCTTCGCCATGGCCACAGTGGGGCTTTCTGACGACTAGTGTCAAACGACTGAAGCTGCATATTGTTGAAAATGGATTGTGTATGAGGATTCAAACGACACAGTTAACTTTTTTTTATTTACTATTTTTTATTATTGAAAAACCACAAACCTTCAGACATGTGAATGTGCACATGATATACAGTGTACATACGGATGCATCGAGAAGGCAACACTATTGACCACGGATGTATCCACAAGAAATGCAGGGATTGAACAACTATTGGTGAAAATCCACATACGAGTAGTGTGAATCCTCGGCTGGTTGAACTACTCCATAAGCATCACTTTTGGTGAGGACACTTTCTGCAAAGCCTGCGTCTCCATATGCTGCATTTTCCGTTAGATTGGGCACGGTCTCTGCTGGTTCACTTGGCTTTTTCGAACGTATTATCAAAACTAACACAGCTACTATCAGTGCAGCCACCAACAAGCCACCAATCCCGCCAATAAGTATTATAGCGCCTGTTCCTATGCCAGTCTCACCTGAAAAGGTAGAAAAAGAGAATGGGAGAGAGTAAACGGGAACGAATGAAAACATTAGTCCCTTATTCTATGCACCAAAAGCCCTAAAAATAGTGTAACGCTGATGGTACGGGACGTGAGGGTCTTTCGGTAAGGCTAGGGTGAGCTGTAAAATCGTGTACGTCTCTTACGACACGACATGCAGCAGTCGTTGCGTCATTCAACTGCGAACGGCGACAGTCATAAGGCACGGTCCGTGACGGGGTGAATTTTGGACCTCATTTCTTGTTTTTCGGGACTCCTTTTCAATTATTTCTCCTTCAATGATGGGGAATCAAGTTCACAATACCAGGTTTTCATGAAGACCAAAAACGTAGCTTTGAAAAGTGTGCCATTCAAATAATAGCTCCAGGAAATGATATAACAGTTCGTCTGTCACGCTCCTGAGCTACCCCTACATTTTGTTTGTTTCTTTTATTTGAATTCGTTTAGAGCACAGGCAATTCTGCCTTCTCACCAGAGGAAAAACCTTCGGTTCCTGCTTAGAACGAATATAATATTATGAGAGAAGGAAATATTAAAAAGAATCATAACATGATAATTCCAAAGCACAAAGTATGTATATAATTCAAATGGGTGTGTGTATGTGTAAGCATGCAGTGAAGAAAACACCGAGAAAACATGCAGTAATGTTTAGGGATGCCGAGCAAGGTGGTTACAAATTACAATTAATTCTGTTCAGAGCCAGTTTAAAGGCAACCGCCGCACTGTGGAGGCGAATATCGCTGGGAAGGGCATTCCAAAGAGTTCTTCACACAAATGTCAATGACTGACGACCGGAAGGTTCAGGAAGGAAAGGCACTTGCAGTAGCCGCTGCTCCTGTCCTCGAGTAATTCGGCGATCATCCCGGGATGCTTGGCCTGTGTTAGCCATCAACTAAAAGTAGGTGCAGAAAAGAGGACTTGCAAGATCATGTAGGCAAAGGAAAACAAAAATCAAAACCTTGTAGTTAAAAATGTGAGATCGGGATCGAAAAGATAAGCGCACGAGGAGGGGGGCTGTGGATGCACGGCTGGAGAGTCGGAAAATTGCACGAATTCCGGATTTGCTGGATTTGATTAAACGACTCTGCGGCGGCTGTGTCAGCGACGGGAAGAATGCATTGGATGCGTACGTCAGTCGTGCTTGCACAATGCCAATGTACCAAAGTCTGCGGGCTCTTATGGGCAGAGATCGCCCATGGCGCCATAGCTGGCTGATGGTGACTGACGCCTTCTGCACAACACTGGAGACATGTGGCTGCCAGGATAGCTGGTCATCAATGGTTACGCCAAGGTATTTGGCAGTGGAGGTAACAGTTAAGGCTTGATCCTTACACTTCACGACTGTTATGTTGCCAGTGAGTCCCCGAGGTTGAATTACCATGACTTGGGTTTTGCCAGTATTCAGCAGAAGCCCAATTTCGGAGAGCCAGTCAGACAGACGTGTCACAGCCGTAGTCAACGTCTTGCAAACAGTGTCCAGATCTGAATCAGAATAATCTAGGACGATGTCGTCCGCGAACTCCTGATGAACAACAATGCAAGGTATGACGTCGGAAATCTCACTCGTGTAAAGGACAAAGAATGAATACCATATGTGACACCAGACCTTCTCCTGCTAAAACTCAAGTCCTGTTAGCAATTCTGCGAGTTATCAAGGGAAGCGCGGGTGTTCGAAATGTTTAAAATTTCCAAGTACGAATCGGGAGCAGTCGGCGCACGACACCGTCTCCTGTTCACACTCAAAATGCTGTTGCGTAGGTTAGCGTCCCCGTCTACGCCCGTCTACGTTATGAAAGTTGAGTCGACCCAACTCTTCCTGTCGCTTCCCGATCCACACGGCGGTATGGCTGCGTTCCCGTTCCTGGTGTTCACATTAGACGCCGTCAGACTGCAGGAATGAATTTATCCTTTATCACATCGCAGTTTGCGATGCAAAATCGATCTACTGCTACTCAAAAGTTACCTTGATTCGCAGAAAACTGCGATACATACAGACTAACCATGCATATCCTGCGCTGTCAAGTAGCATGCATACAGTGCAATGTATGTGGTGCAGGCACTCTCAATCTGCGTGCGCATGTATGACTCAGTCGGGTTTTTGCAAACGGGCTTTCAGCACCACTCTCAAAAAGTACTATGTGGAAAACACCCAACCTTCGAAGAAAAATGCTAATCAAAATCAAAGACTGCTACACAATTGTGATTTTGTATATCAGAAACTGCTATGCAAAAATATGACAATAAATTCATCCCTGGACTGTCCCGTGGCTTCCCGTCGATCCTTACGTCGCATCGCGTCTCGCCCCGTCGAATGTGAACTCGGCTAAATTGTCGAGCGAAATTTGAGCGTGTTTTACGATTGCCTGCTTATGAGTCGTCCATAAATATCCAACATTTTTCACGAAACCAAACATTTTCGTTATGGGATAGGAAGGAAAAGATTGATACGATCTTACATGTATATGGCCGTTAGAGTAGCGATAGACTTGCGAATTTTCTTATATACATTCCACATGTATACGTCAACATTTTTCACGTTCTGAAAAGGGAGGCAGAGGGGGGGGGGGGGGGGGGGGGTTGGAACAAAATTTTTTCGTGAGTTTTTTTTACGGACAGCATCCAACTGGCGAACCGCTCCTATCGCTGTGGAATGCTGTAATTTTCACCAGCGTTTTCATACCGATAATAGTTGTGGTGGTAGGAGAAGCTATAATGTACTTGTTAGAGTTACAAATGGCCTTTTTTGCTTTTCCTTGTCAAAGTGAACAAACGATCTTGTTCGGCAGCTTTGTAAGTGAAAATGGTAGAATTCGATACCTTTTCTGGTAAGTTTCATGCATGGTTGGTACGTGGATAAAGAAATGGAGCAGAATTCGAGGAATTGCCCGCCATAAGGTTTGTATGGTTCTGCTAATTTCACTGCTTTTCGAGCAGAATATGCCACCTTTTCGAGCATTATCCGCCAATGCCTACTCAGGGCCCTACGCCATGCTTTTTGCCTAGCTCATCATGCATGTTATTAGAACAGATGGAAACCTTTTGCAATACAATGATGTTGCCGGTCAGTTCGTTGTGGTATGGTTGGGCATTGTAGCCGTCATGGTCGACATAAAACACTTTAAGACCAGGGCATAGATTAACGGCAGGTCATCGGACATTTTTCGGCCATTTTCGGCCACTGACTGGATGTTCTCAATTTCACCGGACATAGTGTCCGGTTACAAAAGCAAAAAAAGAGCAGCGACCTTTCGACCTTTTTATGCAGAGTTGGGCATTCTTCGGGGTTTCGTGCCAAATGCGACTTGCATATCGTACAACTAACCCGTACACCGTAGTCTCAGGCGTAGACTTCACTATCATTCTTTACTTGATCCGCCTGTACGAACGCGTTGTTGCTACATTTTTTTTACAATTGGGACTTTTATTACAAAGCACGAAGAAGTGTAAAAACAACAGAAAAATGATAAGGCACCAATTTTGATAATCCTGGGGATGGCCCACGCCTGGTACTGCCACTGCATTATAAATCATACATAATGACTGATAAAAGGTGTGAAGCAAACTAATAACAAAAGTGTAAATGAAAATTACTGTTAGATCACACGAACGGCAAGTCACACTGCAAGAGCTAGTGCCCTGGAATCACTGCCTCGGCAGCAGCAAGAAAAGCAGGGGTGGTAGAGTCGACGGAGACCTTGCGGCTGCGGGATCCACAGAGACACATGACGCTCGCCCGGAGGAGCGCAAAGCTTAGGCGGCAGCGGACCCATGCCATCACCACACTGTACGGCTCCTTGCTCTTCTCTGCTAGCAGGCACGCAATACGCTTATACAAAGCTGTACAGTGACGACTCTTTCCACCTGTTGTGGCAAGCACAGCTGGCACAAAATTAAGCATGTTCCACGTCGCCGATACGCTGCTCGTACGCCCGGCGTTTCTCTTCTCCTGCCGAGTGTGGGTTGAGGCCAGTAAGGTGGCCCGGTTTGAGGACGCATACGGGTTAAACACCCTGACATCAACGAAATTGAGCTCAAAGCGGCCACCCTAAAGGCCACTGGCGGCTACATCCAGACGAGCCTGCTCTTCCACAATAGCAGAGCGATAGCGAAACTGCTCTCCTGTGACAGGCTGGAAGTGAGGTTCTACGGCGACATTGTGGGCAACCTTCTTCAGCAGACTTGCCGTGATGTCACGCACTTCGTTGTGACGGATGGATGAAAACCCACCCGTCGGACAGGAAAGTGCATGGCAGGTAGTGAACCTGGCACCACAGGAGCAATCTGACGGCAGACGGTCTGGCAACCCATTGTACCGGAGGGACACCCCGTCGCGGAATTCACCCTTCCTGAGAGACCGTTGTTGCTACAGTCAATTCAGATACGTCCACATAATGAGTCATTAGGGAGGTTTCGCTCTACGCAATCACGAATGAAAATCTGTATGTCCTACACACCGGGGGAGCGAGGGCAACTTTCATACGTAAATCTCTCTCCGGATTTCCATAGGAAAGCTGTTTCCAACGTTGGGGCCTCCATAGGACTTTTTGAAATATTTTCGCATTTTCCTGATTTATCCATTGCAAAGTTCAAGCCGCGCGAAACACAAGGTACACACACCGTACACCCCGTTCATAATGCGATGGACACACGATTTCGGTTCGCGGTGCATGCGGGGCGCATGTAGCCAACGCGTCTCCAAAGCAACAAGGCATGTTGAGCAGTCGTGGAGAAATCACGTAGAGCGAAACCCAACAACGCTGATCTTTACGTATGAAAATTACGTGCAGTTCCTACGTTATTTTAGTACGTAATTCCGTAGAGCAAAACCTCCCTATTGTGAATACACTTCAGTACTACTAAAAAAGGAAAGAAGAATCACCCTGGAAATGTGTAGTGGAAAATGTCCTGGCATGTCCGGATGGATTTCAAAACGGAAGGACATTTGTCCGAGCTAAATGAAATCCTTAAGCTATGCC